TCAAACAGTTTAAAAACTTATTCAAATGAATTACTTTAGTACCCATATCAGATAGATTAAGTTGAGTTGAAATTTTTCCAATTTTAAGAATCCTTTTAGAAATTTTATCTCTTATAAAATGATATTTAACATCAATATGCTTAGTTCTATTATGAAATATAGGATTTTGCTCAAATAAATAGCACTTTGACTATCAGACAGCAATGTAGCATCATTATCAGCAGAACCAAGTTCAGACATCAATCTATTTAACCATATTCCCTCTTTCATAGCATCAGTTGCAACATTATATTCTGCTTCAGTGGAAGATAAAGCAACAACCCTTTGAAGTTGAAATTTTCAACTAACAACAATAAGGTATAAAAATAAGAAAAAGTTGATCTTGTATCATCTTTATCTCCAACAAAATCAAAATCAGTATATCCCTTTAATGCTACACCATTTTTACTTGATTTAAACATTAAACCCAAGTTAGGTTTGCCTTTAAGACATCTAAACAACCGTTTTAAAGTATTCCAATGTTCTTCTCTAGGGTTACTCATAAACCTACTCAATATGCTAATGCCAAATACAAGATCAAATCTTGTACAAATCATCAAATATATAAACAGCATTTGCATAAAGTATTTTAGATGTTCTAGCATACTCTTCTTCAGAATTTGGACAGCATTCTGAAGAAGCTTAAAATGATTAACAAGAGGCAATGTTACAAGTTTACAGTCATACATGTTAAACGTTTTTAAAACTTTAATCACATTATTATGTTGATTTAATAATAGCATGTCTTTCTCTTTATTTCCCAAATTTGAATGCCTAATATCTTTCTAGCATAACCAAGGTCTTTCATTTCAAATTAATACTTCAGTTTCAATTTGATATCATCAATTTCAGACTTATCATAACTGACAAACAACATATCATCCATACAGAGAACTAAATAAAGAGGATTTTCACCTCCATTACCTTTAAAAATATAAATGGTATCAAACTGGCTTCTTTTAAAATCAAGTTTAGAACAAAAGTATCAAATCTTTTGTACCATTGTCTTAGAACTTGTTTTAATCCATATAAAGATCTTTTTAATAGACAAACAGTATTTTTAGGATTTCCAATTTCAAAACCAATAGGTTACTTCATGTAAATTACTTCATCTAAAT